AACACCAAGCAACCATTTTATCTCTTCTCTGCAAAGCTCTGCTCTGTGACGTCTGTACGTTTCATTTACTTCATGCTTGATTTAACCAACTCTGGCTGAGTCACAGTCTTTTATGCCCCTTATGGACATTAACATACAGGCCTCGTTTCAGACAACACAAAAAGTCATCCATCTTAGAAAATGCATTGAGGAAAACACTGAATGGTGTTAGTGACGTCAATTCATTCACAGGTGCTGCAATTATTTTTAAATAGCACTTTTTAAAATATCATTCCAGTTAGGGAAACTAAAAGGGACGTCGGTGTCTGAAAGGCCATCATCACCCATTTATTTCTCATTTTTAAACCTTCTTCAGTTGTCTTTTAAATATCAATCTTTACAATAGCGTATAATAAACTAACATTTTTTTGTGCTAAACAGAAACATTTACAGGATTCTGTAGCTTCTATTTGATCCAATTTCATTTTTCATTTTGTTTCTTTACAAAGAAACTATTTCAATGCCACTTGCAAAAAAAAAAAAAAAAAAGGGCGTCATTGTATAAAAAAATAAAATATCTGCCATTTGTCTGCCAGATTAGCGTACGACTGCTCCTCTACAAGGACAAACTTATAAACTGGAGCACTATTTTAACCCACCAATAAAGAAAGGAATCCTCTGACTTGTTTTAATCTTTCCAAGTTTAGCCTCAGTCAGATGTTACATATGGTGGCTGCATGGGATTACAGATTGGAAATAACTCAGATTCTAAATGTGTAGATTAACACGGGGTGACAAGAATAAACAAGGAGCAGATCAGAGCTGCTCTTGTCTGAAGCACAGAAAAAAACTACAGAACACAAGAGGATTTAACAGGATTCTCCATTTAAACTCAAAAATAGTTTTTTTTTTTTTTTTAAATAAACAATTTTAGCATTATGGCAACAAAACAAAAAATGTTAAAATACGAAATATCAGCAAGCCAAACAACAACGTTAACTCTGCAACAATCGTTTTTAAGGCAGAATAAGCAGTTTAAATTCAAGTTTTGAGACAACACAGAGCAAAGTAACTTTGTTTTGAATACAACAAAACTAGAGCTGCGATTTTTGGCCCGAGCCCCCAACCCAAAATTCTGTCCGGGTCGGTCTCGGACTTTTGATGCAGTTTTATGAATCATACAGCACAAAGAAAACTAAATAAGAATGCACAATATAAAATTGTGTTAATCTACTTGTCGAGGAGGAGGCAGTACGTTTATATGCTGAGGATGAGAATGAAATAAAATAGAGTGCAGAAGTTAATCATAATGTGAAAAGGCAGAGTAGCACTGGGGCGCATTGCGCAACAATTGTGCATGTGGCCCCTCCCACCCTATGCTCTTATCACACATCTGAAGATTTGCAATTAACCCACAACAAGTGACATAATGGAGCTGGAAAGTCTTAAACAAAAGCTAAAAACAGGAGAACTCACTCTACAAAGCCAGCGCAGTGAAACCTGCTGGTGTGTGTCAGTCAGGTGCACGCTCAGGTACGACCGGACGGTTGAAAGACGTAAAAAAAAGACATCTTCATCGTTAGAGTTGAATTTTTAGCCTATTTGTTTTGTTAATATCCATTTGGTGGAATAAGAAATCTTATATCTTCCTTTCGTTGATATACGTTTTTAAAACTATCATGTCAACCTGATTTGCTTACAAAAGCAGTAAAAGCTTAATTTAAAAAAAAATGTTGGGTATTTTTCAGGTTCGGGCCTGTAATTAGAATTAATTAGTCGAGTCGGGTCAGGCTCAGAAAAAATATATAGGTGCTACGGCTGGGCCGGACTTTTTTAGGCCCAAATGCAACAAAAAACTGACCTAAAATTCTAATTTATGTGAAATATTAGGTTGCCTGATATAAATTTAAATCTATTAAATGTTTTTTTTGTTTGTTTGTTTTCTGCATAAGATAATGGTTAAAAAAAAAAGATAAATTACATACCGTATTTTTCGGCCTATAAATCGCGTTTTTTGCATAATTTGCATGCCCTGCAACTTATACGCCAAAGGGACATATTTATGGATTTTTCCCATATTTAAACCAATTTTTGGCTGAGATATGACCGTTATTATTCATTCTGACTGAAAATATTGAACACTACCATTATAAGCCGCTAGACGGCACTCAAGTAGTATGGCATGCCGTTGTGTCATGTAATAGGTAAAAGTGGCTATTAATGGCACAATCGGCTTGCCATAGACTGACACCTTTGTCCAGCTCGCCTGGAGCAACTGTCAAATCAGCTTCATTTCACTGTGCAGCCCCGGTGAAATGCAGCTAATTTGACCACTGAAGTGCAGTTCTTAAGTAAAAGTTCAACTGAGACACACCTTTGCTATAATGTCGAGCAAACAAATAATTGTTGAGGTGCTTATCTTGTTAAATTTCAAAGAAATGCACAGCGAGTGACCTCCCGTGCACGCTCCTACTTCCGCGAATTGGCTTTTGAAATGCAGTTGATTTGACCGTCAAAGTGCATTTATTACGGAAAAGTTCAACTGAGACACACCTTTGCTATAATTTCGAGCAAACAAATAATTGTTTAAGTGTTAATCTTGTTAAACTCTTGTTAAAGTCCTCCCGTGCACGCTCCCCGCGACCGCCATTTGGCAGCCTATCGATTTTTGGCACAATACGGGTCCACATTCCCGTGTTGTCAGCGGTGACACGTAACAAACGCGACGCGTCAGCTGTGATGCATAATACATGCGATGTATACGGCGAAGTGACATATTTATGTTTTTTCCCCCACTTTATTAGACATATTTGGACTGATGCGACTTATAGGGTGGTGCGACATGCACGGCGGAAAATACGGTAAAACTTAACTCCATCACTTTTCTACAAAGCAATAATATTTACAAACCATTATGACTCAAAATTACACAAAGCAAAGTTATTTAGTAAAATTAGTAGTACAATATTGGTTTTAAATGTGTAAAAAAAATGTGAACTAAACTAAGAAGAACCCATCTACAACTATTAGGTAATTGTTAAGTGCTGCAGGCTTTAACAAGTTAAAATTATTCCCAGTGATGTGGGCTTTCACTTCATTGGAAATAAGTAAAATCTGGCATCCATCAATTCATCAAAAACAGTAATCCTATTTTGGGGCCCTGGATTACTGCTCTGGAAAGTCCAGCCTCGCATAAAAATAGTTTCAGTATTTTCTGTAGCTTTTGTCTCCGACTAGTCTCCAATCCTTGGAGGGCAGGAAATTTTAAACTAAGCATGACATGAGCAATAAGTCATGATCCCTTCACCTATTCCCAGCATTCATCGGGACAGCAGGATCAAGGAAAACAAATGGAACCGTTTTGGACGTGGCCCGGGCTAAACTATAGCAGAAATCTGGGTCATATATATCACCTCGTTAAAATGAGAGCGGGCCGTCCAGCTGACATTCAGACAGCGCCTGGAGCAGCTTGGAGCTTTACTGTGAACTGATGCAGAAGAGCGGATTCTGGAGGGACGACTAACTCCAGTAAATCTGGATACATGGGACACTTGGAAATCAGCTCACTAAACGTGTATTTAAATCTAGCCCAAGTGAAATTTGACTAAAGAGACGCAAAATTAATATTTAATTGTTGTAATAATGTTATTAGAAGAGTGTGTTGAGAGATTTCTGCTACCTCTGCAGCACCTCAGACGTAATATACTCCAGATATGAGAGCACAAAATAAATCCAGCTTTTCCCATTTGTTTCAACTGTATGAAGCTGCTTTACTCCGATTAATCCTTCTAAATAGAGCTGTAAATGGTAAATGTATTCATACTGTGACGGTTCAGTACGGACATTTTGGACAGGTACGGTGAAATGACGACCAGGTGGTCACTGCTCCCCGAATGGGCGCACGTTTCATTTACTCTACCGTATTTTTATGACTATAAGGTGCACTTAAAATCCTTGAATTTTCTCAAAAATCAACAGTGAGCCTTATGTATCAATTCTGGTTGTGCTTACTGACCTCGAACTGATTTTATGTGGTACAACTGAACAATGTTGAGAATTATTGTGAATGAGTTGAATAAAGTTTGACTTATCCGACTGTTTTATTTCACTTAATGCGCCTTATAATGCGGTGCGCCTTATGTATGAAAACAGACCCGTTCGTTGATATTGTGCCTTATAATCCGGTGCGCTTTATAATCTGAAAAATACGGTAATTTGTTAACCAAAACCATGCAAAGGAAAAAAAAAATCTGCTCAGAATAACAGAAGCTTGAAGACCTGTGTTTGGTGAAAATCAGCTGTGTGAGAAAAGCTTGATGGTGCCACAGATTGCTGACAGCTGCAGTGGACAGAGGAAAGGAGCCAGTATAGCAAGCAGGTGTATCATGTAATCGATGCTTTTTTGAAAAGCACTGTGGCAAGTCATTTGTATAATTCAATATCCCTGATCAAGCCTCACTGTCTCACACAGGAACTCAGAAGATTGGCGAGTGTTTTATGTTCACATTTACATTTAATAAAATGAAAAACCTTTTTGTAGTTAAAAACAAATTGCTTAAAAAATTGTCATATCTCCATTTCACTTTGCTATTTTTTAAAACTCAGAATTGCAAAATGTAAACGCAGGATGCTTATTGATTTGCTGGATGTTGCGTCTCTGCAAGGTTCAGCAAACTGTAAAGTTTCTGTCTACAAACAGCTTTAATTGTTTAAAATAATCCTCCAGTTCTTCAGTATAAAAAAGGAATACTGATTAGCAGCTTCAATCTAAAGCTTGGAAATGAAGACACGAACTAAAAAGGCGCATTTTATTTTGGATGTAGAACAATTAAAATGAACCTCGGACTAAATTTGTTGGTCTGTATGAGTTGCATCTGTCAAGCAAGTTGACAGCAGGATAAAAAGCTAAACAAAGCTCACTTCCTTAAGTTGATTGTCAAAGTTGCGCACGTTGATGCTGACAAAAATAAAGATAAAGATTAAATTAGTACGATCTGTGCAGGCGAGCCGTCAGTACTCACGGCTGGGAGTGAGCCGTCTCGTAGCGTTCAAAGGAATGGCCGAGATCGTGTTTGTTGTTCATGTAGCACTGGGTGCACAGGTCGTAGTCGAAGCACACTTTGCACTTCCACCGCATTCCCATGATGCCATGCTTCTTGCAGCTGTCGCAGATAATGTTGGAGTGACGCACCCCTGCGAAAAAGGAAGAAGCGGTGAAGGAGGGAAAGAAACTTTCAAAACTGCATTTAAGGAGTTTGCTTATTTTTATTTCTGCTTTCATCAGAGAGAAACACATTTTAGCTTCAAGCATGTCTCAGTCTGTAAAATAGTGAAGTTACAGAACATTCACAGCATTCCTGATGTGACTTATAAGTCTCTAATATGAAAAGAAATCGTTTAAAACAACGAAGAGGAACAGACACCATGAGAAAAATACTCCCAGCCACTTTGTTCCTCATTTCTTCTCATTTTCAGTTCACCGAAGGGTTGAAATGATGAGCATAACATTGATGGTTGTGATTTAAGAGCAAAATGGAACTGGACGGTTGATGACGAGCCTTTAAAATTGGATTTGTGGCTGTTTCGGGAGCACCAACGACAAGCAATTATAAAAAATGCACGATAATATGAGAAAGAGAAAATGACAGCAAGCTCAACGAGAACAATTTTTCCAGTTATATTGTGATATTTAAAAATTAGTAGCATTTTTCAAAGCAAGCCGTTCAAAAGCCAGCTTTTTTTATTTACTGTATTTTTTGGAATATAAGGCACATTACATGAAACTAACATTTTGACAGATTTCTGAGCGCCGTGTACAACATAAAATCGGTTCGAGGTCTGTAAGCACAACCAGAATTAATGCATAAGGTGCACCGGATTATAAGGCTCACTGTTGATTTTTGAGAAAATTAAAAGGATTTAAAGTGCGTCTTACAGTCTGAAAAATACGGTACTCTTTAAATAAATATAGAAGGTCTGTTTTATTCATTTTGAGTTCAACTATAGATGTACTGTAGATCAAAGTTAGATCAAATTTTCCTTGATTGTAATTTGCACAAGGAGTTAAAACAATTTTCTTATCTTGTGACACAACTTGAATCCATGTTTGGAAACATTAATGACGTAAAAATATATATTTGTTTTACAGATAATCATAAATGCCAAGTAAGACCGTGTGGCTTTAATAAAAATTATTTTTTATTTTTTTTAACTAACACGTTTTGAGTCAAACAACCACAGGGAGCGTGTTTGGGTTGAAAAGAAGTTTAAACAACATCTAAACTCTTTAAAAAAAGGCCTAAAGTTGGTTAAAAAGTGAAAGATGAGTCTAAACTTAAATGTCAACTAGACGTTTAATTAACAACAATAAGTAAACGTGGCTCTGGCTCAGACCTCACGTTGTCAGCAGGAGGTTTGATATAACGCAACGCCATTATTATCTTTTTCCAACGTCAGCGGCAGAGCCGTGTGTTAGACTATGTAATTTGTTTAGCTCATGGGCCAGATGGAATGAGCTTGTGGACTGTGAGTTGCCCGGGAGCCGCCAGTTGATTGAATCTGACCACAGAGATGTTCAGCGTTATGAAAAGTATGATCATAATTAAACCATGTTTGATAGTCCATGTATATTGTACTTTACTGTTATTAATTATAAAATTGACAGAGCCTTGCCTGTTACTCATGAAAATTAGCTTTACTTAAAAAAAGTTAAAGTTTAATATTTTAGAATGAAACTGGGTTTTGAGTGCTTACCAATTTGAGCAGTATCGTAGAGCAGCAGGTCGTAGGCTCCCTGGTATCCAGTCCGATAGTTGGTTCGTGTGCCGCTGTCCCACTGAACCACCACAGTCTTGTCTGGGGTCGTGGTGCTGCCCTGCCGCCCGATCTCCACCACGGTGCCCACATGCCCCTCGCCGTCATCCTGGTTCCCCCACTTCCAGTCCAGGCCGCGCACCACGCGCATGCCCACCTCCATGCCGCCTCTGCTGGGGCCTGGCCTACGGGCTGAGGGCAACGGCTTGGGCCTGGCAGCGCTGTCGCTTCCGCCGCTGCTGCGCCTCCGCGGCTTCTGAGAGAAGGAGCCGGACCGCGCTGACGGGATCACCGGCAGAGACGGCACCAGTGTCGTCTCTGGGAACAGATCAGGGGTGACTGGAAGAAAGAGGGAAAAAAAATAGTTGGAAAATACAACAATAACCGTAGGAGTGTAGGCAAAGTAAATACAAAAAGGTTAACAATGACAAACAGGTGATCCCTTTTAGATCTATTCCACCATTTTTAAAACGACCTTAAAAGCTTTGTGTTCCTTCACACAACCTGTGTACAGATGTCGGCAGCTGCTCGATGCGCCATATGTCTTATTAATTTCAGAGCAGCGCTCTCGTCTTGGCTGGTGGATTGTTCACTGGAGGCCTTGTTGTGTGTCATGGCACACTTCTGGAGGGAGCAGCTGGACTCGACTGTTACGCCCTGCTGCGCTAATCAAGCCCTGACCTGACACAGACACACATCTACACACTGCCTAACACGATCCACTAACCTCACTGGCCTCATTCGTACTCTAAACACTAAAAGCATCTAAACAAGCAAACAGTAAGATTTAAACCTGCAGCAAACATGAGCCCAATCTTTACTTGATTTGTCTTAGTGCAGACCATCGTGAAATCTGTGTTGCAGTTTATGGCCAGCCGTTCAGCCATTGACTTATTTTATTGTCCTTCCCTTTTTATCCTTTTAACCATATAAATGTATGAACTTTTGAGGATGGACCCCACACCTAAAAGTGAAAGTAACTGAAAGAAAAATTGGTACCACTTTACAATAAGGCTCCCCTTATTGATGGCTATTAAATATAGTTTATTGATATGTTATTTATTCCTCTATGAACACTTTATAAATATGAACTGCTTATTATGCATTAATTAAAGGTGATGGAGACAAAACTGACCCGTTTGTTGCCAAATAGTGACCGAATCTGCCACCTATACATTTCATCTAGAGTTGTTAAACATTTCAGACGACGTTACTACCTTGTAAACACAATAAGCTTTTGTAAACCTATTTTTTAGCATATAATATTGTACTTTATCACTGTATTATAAGTATCTACAACTAATATTATATCCTGAAAAAAAATTAGGTTTACAAATATTTATTGTGCTCACAAAGTAGTAACTTAGTCTGAAATGTTTAATATAACAACTCTCGATTAAATTGATGACTGAAGAGATTTGGCTCAATATTTGGCAAGAAACTTATCCGTTTTGTTTGTCTCCCTTAATTAATGCATAATGAGTTATTAATGATTTATAAAGGCTGTTGGAGTCAGCCTCCCCACCATCGCAGACATCCACACCTCTAGATGCAGGAAGAGGGCCACCTGCATCATGAAGGACCCCACTCACCCAGCACACACACTTTTTGCCCCACTCCCCTCAGGCAGAAGGTTGAGGAGCATTAAGTGTAGAACCACTAGACTGAGGAACAGCTTCTACCCTGTTGCTGTTAGACTCAGTGATTATCACTGAATAATCACTGTAATGCCTCTTGATTGTTGAGATGTGCTGCTGACTATCCATGCTGCTGATCTCATGCTGCTGATTTATTTCATGTTGCTGTGTTTATTCGTCCTCATCTACTCACAAAGACTCATGTTCGTGCTGCTGTTGCTCGGCGCATTGTTTTGTACCATTATTGCTTAGTGTATTATTAGTTTAGTGTATTTAGTGTATTCTTGGTTTAGTGTATTATTCATGTCTTGGATCTTACTACTGTTTTTTCTTTACAATTTGTATTTTTGTTGGATGTAACTGGGACCCTATGTACATAGTTTCATTCCACCTCATATACCACATGTGATGTGAATGAAAATAACAAACCTTGAATCCTTGAATAAAGTGTTTATAGAGGAATTAATAATGTATCTATAACCTATTTATTAGCCATCTATAAAGAGAGCCTTGTTGTAAAGTTGTAACAAAAAATGTGTGTATTTTCTGTCAACTTGTTCCAATTTGTTTCCCTATAATAAATCAGAAGTACCATCAAAAAACAACAACAACTAAAATATTAAAGCCTTAACACAAAAGAGGTACAAAAAAATTCACATTTCACAGCCGGGACTGATTGCACCAGCGCTTACTTTTTTTTTATTTTTTTTTTTTTAATGCTGCACAGTTCAGGGGAAAAAAAAGAAATAAAACTGAAAGAGTGAGGTTCAGAGGATGTGAGGGCTTGACTCAGCACTGCAGCAGGAAACTTCTGCTGAAGAGCATGATAGTCTAATTATACTCGTTAATCACATGAGATACTTCTACAATATTTGGAGTTTCCATAACGCACAAAGAAACAGTTTGTCTACTCAGTGCGATTTCTGTCTCTGATCATAAAAAAAAGAAAACGGTTAAAGAAGTGCTGCATTCAGGCGTGAAGCCCAGTGTAACATTTAGTTGTCCAACTCTTATTAAACAGCAGCCTGCACATCGCCCACCACCCTTCATGCTACTATTATACAACAAACTCATCTCATGATGAAAAGGAATAGTCATTTTGGTCTAAACGGTGATCTACAGTCTCAAGTGATATGTTGAGAGCATGTGTGATCTGTTCGAGCTCATTGTGTTTGTTGAGGATCATTCCCAGCTACTACCACACCAAATGTTAGCTCAACATCTGTAAAATTCACTGAGTGATTTGTGTCGATTAATGTTGATTAGCTGTGGCATAGCTGTAGACGTGCATCCAATAATCACTTTACCTCAATATTTGTAAAACAGATTACCCGATTTACAGCCAGTTTTGTTTTAAAGGTCAGTGGATGTGGCAGCCATCTTGAATTGGGTTGTTTCAAAACAAAACGACAACAACTGGTTTGTTAATAAATAGAAATGAATGGGTTTACCTCCTGGGTTTGGGCATGGGCTGCCCCCTGTAGAGGGCGGGTACATGTCTTGGACCTGGGGGGTATAGAGTGTGTATCGGGAATAAGAATGAAATGTATCGTTATTGTATGTCTTTGAGTGA